CATTTCTTGTATGTGGGTTTCTGCCTAAAGACGCTTTATTTAATATATATTATCGGTTCATTAACATTGAACTTTTAGCCCAGAGCCCTGTAACTCGTGCCTGATGAGGCACATCACAGCTTTCTTGTGCTTAGGAACACGAGCCTGCACTTCTGCACTTTTCCTCAGAGCCATTTTAAACAGTGAATTCGCTAGCAAAAAGTACAAAAATATAAAAAACATGGCATATAATCTCCTGGGGAAAAGAACCTGTTGATAGCATAAGAGGTAAAACAAGAAGGTGGAGTGTCACCTTGTTCAGCCTCAGCTGGGAACACGCATGGGCTGGGGGAGAGGGGCACTCCCATTTTTCACTCCCCTGTGTATGTCTGAATGACCACAAAAGCGCCACGAGTATTGATTTTGGGGTCACAAATCAATTTTAGAGAGTAGGTGAATTCACAAATGTAGAATCTGTGAACTTGCCAATCTTAAAAGATTGCATTTAAAAGACATATACCAAGTACCCACTGGGTGGTGTCCAAAGTGGCAGATAGATGACTAGGACGTCTATTGCAACAGTGCAGGTAGGAGGGGAGGAGAGCCTCAGCTGGGGTTGGGGGTTGTATTAGGTGCCAGGCGAGAGTGGAGGGCTGGGGAAAGCTACTTGACAGCATAGGTAACAAAAGCTGGGGATGGATTCCATGTGGAGGGAGGGTGAAGGGCAGCATCCCTGTCAGTTGGGTAGGTGGGTATAGCAGGATACCTTCTGTTGTGATAAATGGAAAACCCCAGTTGAACTGGCTTGAACAACTAAGAGGCTTCCCCGGCTCCTGTGCATGGGAAGTTAAAAGGCGATCTCGGTTCAGGCAGGGCTTGATCTGGCAGATCCTTCTGTGGCACCAGGACCAACTCCTTCTCCTGCATCCAGTCTTAGCAGGCTCTTCTAATGTGATCCTGGAAGGGGAAGGCAGCAACTAGCAACCAGGAAAGAGAATCCTGGTTCTAATGTTCCCAGCAGAATGCTTAGGCTTCTGGCTTAGGTCAAGTGCCTGCCTGAACTGTCTGCATGGTCAGGGGATGGAATGAACAGATTGGATTCAGCCAGACCTGGGGGATGAGAGGTGAAGCCCACAAAGGTAAAGGGCTCAGAATCGGAGTAAAGGGGTGGTTTCCTCGAGGGAAGTCCAGGAGCCGTGATCTGGAAAGAGGGAAGAACAGGTGCGCTTGGGAAGCATAGATGATGAGCCTATCTACACCTTAAGTGATTTGATTATCAGGGCTGGCGCATTTTTTATTGAAAGAATCTTGCGATTTGCTTTCATCTCCATACTGGATGACTGAAAGCCATTCCCAGAAGACCCGAATCAATGTCTGAAACGTGACAGCTCAGGGAAGAATTTACATGGCTGCCCCAGTGACTTATTTTTGGGAAGGTCACAAAAGCATGGAAATAATTGTCAAGTTGGAATTATTTATGATTCCTGCACTTCTATATCAGGTCTAGTAAATTTGCCTCATCTCGTGAGTTAAGATAGAGGAATAGTCTTGTTTTTACACTGAGGGGAAGAAGTGGTCAAAGAAATGGAGACTCCTAATCCTGGAAATTCCTGAAAGGCAAGCTTTTATATCAGACAAAGAGAATGCAGAGCCAGATGGGAGAGAGAAGGAAATAAACAGAGGGTAGAGAAGTGAAGCCGCACTGATTCAAACTGAACACATGGTGATGGGCATTCGTCTCTTTATTTAACAAACAATCTTTCTTGATTTTTTCTGCATACCAACTCATGGAAGCTGAACCATGATGCTTCCTACGGCTTTGATAACAAAGCATCACAAACTTGGTGGCTTGAACCTCAGTTTCACTGGGTCCAAAGTGAGTTGTCAGCAGGGAAGAACTCCCTCTGGAGGTTCTAGAAAAGGATCTGTTTTCTTTCTTTCTTTCTTTTTTTTAATTGTAGTAAAATATTCATAAAATGTACCATTTGAACCATTTTTAAGTGGATAGTTCAGTGGCATTAAATACATTCATGTTGTTATGTAACTACTCACCACCACCCATCCCTCTGGGGCTTTTTCATCTTTCCAAACTGAAACTTTGTTCCCAATAAGCAAATTAAATGTCTTCAAGGTTCATTCATGTTGTAGCATGTGTCAGAATTTGCTTCCTTTTTCAAGGCTGAATCATATTCCATTGTAGGTATCTATCATATTTTACTCCATCCATTCATCACTCAATGGACACTGGGGTCCTTCCACCTTTAGGCTATTGTGAATAATGCATCTGTGACCACGGGTGTGCAGGTATCTCTTTAAGACCCTGCTTTCAGCTCTTCGGGGGTATCTCCCTAGAAGTGGAGTTGCTGAATCGTAGGGGAGAATCTACATTCTTGTCTTTTTATCTTCCAGAGCTGTACTTCTTGCATTCCTTGGCTTGTGGTCCTTCATCTTCTAGATCAGCAGGGTAGTATCTTGTTTCAGGGGATCACGTTGCCTCTTCTTCTGTCTCAAAGTTCCCTCTGCCTCTGTTAGGGCCCACCAGGATAATCCTGGGTAATCTTATTGCAAGATTCCTAATTTAATCACATCTGCAAAGTCTCTTTTGCCAAAAAAGGTGACATTCCCAGGGTCCAGGGATTAGGACCTAGATATCTTTGGGGGGGGTCATTATTCAGCCTCCCACACAAGCTAACAGAAAAGGCAAAAGGGACACAGAAAACTGCCATAAAAAGAAAGGCCCGTAGGACCACCCTGTCCCTAGAGATCATCACAGGAAATAGTCAGGGACATATTTTTCTATATTTCTTTCCATGCATATGCTAACAAATGTATTTCTTTTGTTTCTTTTCCTTTTTAAAAAATAAAAAGTGGGGTAACTTTCTACATGGCCCAGCAACTAGTCTCTTTCATTCAGTAATGCATCTTTGCAGCAAGCTCTTTAAGAGCGAAAGGGATTTACTTTCATGCTACTGTCTTCTTTGATGTAAAAATAGCAACTTTCCAGTAAAGCAAATGACTTTTAGAAAAATTCTATTTGAAATAATCTCCTAAAAATGTCAATGTTAACTTTAATTCTTAAGAGGAAAGAGAGATTTTGAGCCAAAATAAGGGTGGAGGCTACTTAGAATTTAGTATTTTAGATAAATTAGAGAAAGGGTGCTCTAGTTATAGATGCATAAAACATGACGTACCTGAAGGCTAAATTACTTTAGGTGTAGCATGTTAACATGAGCATCAATGCTTCCATGGTGTCAGTTTAAATTAAGCATCTAGTATCAGGGGTGGAGAGATCAGAAGACCTGGATTGGAATCCTGGCTTTGCCATCCACAGGCTGTTTATGACTTTAGGCAAGCTGTATCCAATCTCTGGGCCTCAGTGTCCTAACTTTTGAAGTCGGAGGACTGCACTGGAAACTGTCCAAGCTCCTAATGACCTTCCATTCTGGAATTTGGGAAGGGCACTGTTCTAGCAGGCTAGAGGTCCAGTGGTGAATCACAAACCTTTTACCAACTTACTTATGACCTTGAGCTCAACAGTCAGTTCTGCAGGGCCTCAGTTTATTCATCTGTAAAATGAGCAGGCTTGTCTAGAGTGTTCTCAAGATCCTTTCTAACGTTCACATTCTAAGATAGTGAGTCTCAAACTTCAGTGTGCCTAAAAATCCCCCGGGGATCTTGTTAAAATGCAGATTTTGATTCAGCAGATTTGGATGTGATCTGAGATTTGACATTTCTAGCAAGTTCTGGGGTGAGGCTGATGCTAGTCTGGAGACCACCATTTGAATAGCAAAGTATTTAGATTTTGAACTGTCAGGAAACTTTGTCAAAGACTTGGAAATGGGCAAAAAAGATTCCTGTGTGTCCCTTGGGTGGAGTGCTGGTCTGGTGATTATCTGGTGCTAGAGGAGTATGCACTTTTTTTTTTTTTTTAAGATTTTATTTATTTATTTGACAGAGAGAGAGAGCGAGCACAAGCAGGGGGAGCAGGAGAGGGAGAAGCAGGCTCCTCACTGAGCCGGGAGCCTGACGTGGGGCTCAATCCCATGTCCCCAGGATCATGACCTGAGCCAAAGGCAGCTGCTTAACTGACTGAACCACCCAGCGCCCCAGGAGTGTGCACATTTTCTTGTCTTCTGTTGTCCAGCTCTGCAAGAGTAGAAGTTAAAATGTAGAATATGGAGAGTAATGGGCTGAATTTTGCTTGACAGAGATACAGTTGATTTCAGTCCTGTGGAAAAGAAGGCTCTCAAACATTACTTTTTCTTGTCCTATAGGATATCAACCAGTTATGCGCAATGACCAAATGCATTTCGGTATTCCTGATTACCTACGTATATGAGTTCTTCAAAATCTCCTTTAAACGGGCTTTACCTTTTTGAAAATCATACTTTAACACCACTGGTCCTTTACAGTTCATTCATTAATTCATTCATGTGTAGCAAGAAACACTAGTGGGGAGTGAGGGAGAGGTTGGGTTGGGGGTACATAAACTCCTCAAGGAAATGATTGGTCAGGAATCCTGCTTTCCTGAACCCCAGCCCACCTTTAGATGAGAAAATTATACTTTACCCCCAATCATGGCCGGATAATTCCCTTCCCAGGGCTAGAAAATCACAGAATATGATGGAAGAAGATCCTGAACCATCATTAAGGATCAAGAGGTCAAAAGATCTACCCAAGCCCAGCAGGCAGCTGTAGCTAAGCTGGGATTAGAATCCGGGCATCAGGACTGTCCCAGTGCTCTTTACGCCAGCTGCCATCTAGTTTACTCTGAGGCCACTAAACTGATGTCCGCAGCACCTGGAATAACGTGAACCCCGCCCCCCAGCTTTCAGGTTTTGGCGACGCCAGAGACGGGGTGGAGAACTGGGCCGAAGGGCGGGGCTTGCGGTCGGGAGGCGGTGCCTGGGAGCGGGGGGCGGAGCTCGAGGTCGCCGCGCAGATGCCCCCGCCCCACAGGCTGTCGGGACTCCGCCCCGGGCCGCGCTTCGCTTCCCCCGGCTCCGCCCCCGCCTGTCTGTGTCTGCGCCGGCGGCTACCGATAAAGTTGTTGTTCTGCCAACATGGCGGCGCCCATAGTGACTGTCCGGGCCGCGTTGCCATAAAAGTGGAAACAGAAGCGTGAGAGCCGCAGGCCAGAGCCTGTGAGCAGGTAAACTTCAGCCCGGGGCTCAGCGGGACGAGAGACTTCTGGAGTGGAGACCTCTGCCCCCGGGTCGGGAGGTTCCGACTTGATGGGGGCAGGAAGGGAAGGTGCGGGCTGGGTTAAGGTGGTCCCGGAGCCGTGCGGTTTCTGACCTGGAAGTCCGGGTCTTCAGGCTCGTGGAGCCACGGACCCTGATGATAGCTCTGGACCCTTTCCCATTCCCAGAAGAATGCATGTGTACACGTAGTTTTGTACTCAAGTTCCCATGTTACTGCTCCCCTGCTCCAATTCATCCCTGGATCTTTGCTTCCCAGGGCTGGGGGGTTTGGACTCAGTGAAAGGCCATCCAGTGCATCTCTGTGCCCCGGAGATCATTGCTACTGTATTAAGGCTCGAAAGCCCTCAGAGATCTTGTGGGTCTACCTCCTCATCCTAGAAAGAAGATGAGGTTCCCGACAGGAAATAATTTGCCTGAGATCCCACAGGGAATTAGTCTTTGCAAAAGCCAAGATCTTTATTTTTTTGTTACAAAATTTGTTTTCTTTAAGATGCACTTTCCGTGGTCCATTCTTGTGCGTTTTCTCTTGGGTGCACACAAATGCCCCCATGTGCTTCTTCCGTGTGTTGTTTCTTTGCCCGTCTCCTACTCTTTCTGTAGGTTTCTCTGCCCATATATGATTGTCATTTCGGGTCCAGTTCTCAGGCCTGTCCCGTTCTGACCACATGACGCTGCCTCCGTCATTCTCAAGAAAACTTGACCTTAAGCCCCAAGTGAGGGTGAGGTCAGGACTGACTCTAGAGGAGTGGCGTAGTGGGGATTGATGCTTTGGAAAGATATGGAGGAAAAGACAAGATTCCAAGCATCTAGGCAAGGAACTGGATGAGACAGAGCTAAGGAAGAAAAGGGCCAAGTTGATTCTAAATACAAGACATGAGCCACACCTTTCACGTTGATGGAATGGTCATAGTTCTCTAATAAAATGGCTGTATCTGCTGTCAGGAAGAGGTGGTGCCCATCAGGGCTTTAGTGGTGGAGTGGCCAAGAGCAGGGTCTGGAAAGTAAAGGAAGGGAACAGGGTTGAGCATCAGGAAGTTCGTAGTATACTGTTGAGGCAAATTGAACAAACCTTTTAGAATTTCTAAAAGAAAGTGGGTTTTAGTCAAGGCCAAATTAGGACAGCTGCCAGGGTACACAATCTTCACAAAGAAGAGAGTGCTCTGTGAAGGAACATTTGGTGTTGGGTTATATAAGCTCCAGCAAAGGAACATTTGGTGTAGGGTTGTATACATTTTTTTTACATAAAAAGTTACAAATCATTAGACAAAGGACATTTCAGAAAGTTGCAGACCTTATCTTAAGCTTCTAGTATATGCAGAGCTGTATGGCTTTAATCTTATGGGAACCAGGGAGGAGGGAGGTTTTCTCTCTCTCTTTTTTAATCTTTATGTTCGGAATGCTCCTTTTTGGTTCTTTCATAAATGAAGCAGATGTGTCTGTGCTTGGGCAGAAATAGAGCCCATACTTTGAGTTTTGCTGAATCATTTTGACCTTGGTAAATGTTGAAGTATAGCTTCCCTGGGAGCCCAGGAGCAGGGGCCACAAGCATTAAAAGTTGAAAATTTCCTTTATTTTCTCAATATCGTAGCCCCGCGTACACTTTATGCTATGTCCCCCTAAATCTTGGGGATCCCCTAACTTTGGGTGTGAACTTTTCCTTAAAGAGTCTTGACACGTTATTACCACGTTGCTACCCAGAGAGGTGGAATCCGTTTACATTCTCAGCAGCAGTGTAAAAAAATGCCCATTTTTTATTTAACAGGTTTTTGCCAATCTGTTAGGCAAAATATTTCATTGTTGTTTTAATTTGCATTCTCTGATTAATTCTAAAGTTGATCTTTTTCATATATTTATTAGAAATTTGTATTTCTCTTGCCATTTTTCCTTTGTCCATTTCTTTTTTTTTTTTTTTAAAGATTTTATTTATTTATTTGACAGAGAGAGAGAGAGCGAGAGAGGGAACACAAGCAGGGGGAGTGGGAGAGGGAGAAGCAGGCTTCCCACCGAGCAGGGAGCCCGATGCGGGGCTCGATCCCAGGACCCTGGGATCACGACCTGGGCTGAAGGCAGACACTTAACGACTGAGCCACCCAGGTGCCCCTCCTTTGTCCATTTCTTAAATTGGGTTTTTAATGTTTCTCTTTTCATATGTAAACTCTTTATAGAGTAAGATAACCTTTTGTTACTGCAGTTTTGGCAAAGATTTTGTCTCAGCTTATTGCTTACTTTCTCATTTTGTTCATGGTGTTGATATACAGGCATTTTACACCTTTAGAGTCAGATTTATTAATAGTTTGTGAATTCTTCCATTGCTTTTTGCTCAGGACAGAGCATCTTGCGCCTTACAAAAATACATTAAATACTCACATTTTTGTTTTGTTTTATGTTACTTAAAAAAAATTCTTTAATCTATATGGGATTTACACTGGTTTATGGTTTGAGATGGGGCTCTACCTTGAAATTTTCCCCATTCATTAAATAATCTGACACTTTCTTATCTACTTGTGCTTCCTTCTTCATGAACTTTAAGTTCTTTGAATGCCCAGGTTAGTTTCAGAATTCTCTAGTCTATACCATTGGTTTATGTAAAGGAGAGGTTGTCAGTGAGCCATGTATTATGTAAACATATTTAGAAAGCTTATTCTCATTGGGTAGACAGAGAATGTTGTATGTGTTCTTTACGATTTATATAATATAAGTAAGTTACAGAGACAGGATTAGAATTTTCAGTGAAAGAATGACCTCCCTTCATATTGTTCATATTGGTGATCTAGCTGCACTCTTTGGGGTTTCATCTGTCACAATGGCTAACAAACATTGAAAGCAAAAACTAGTGAGACTGTGGTTCAGGTTAATTTGTATTTTTGTAGCTTTGTTGTTTCCCGTTGTTTCTGTTGGGGAGCATAGTCCAGAACCCTCTCCTTATGTATTCTTAGGGAATGAAGTCCAGGAGAGAAATGGCAGGCATCTCTCTATGCCCTCTGCTAATTGGGCAGTCTTTGGCTTATAAAGATAGGGAAATGCTGACTTAGTAAGGGAATCATAAACTCCATGACTCCTGTGGATAGTTCTAATTATGTAGAAACCCAACCCTTAAAAATAAACACAATTGCCTCAAGTGTACAAAGTGTCTGTATATTAGGTTGGTCCTATGGGCTTGTTGATACTCAACTTTTTTCATATAGTTCACCCTAATATCTATAATCACATCTACATATTTTAGAATAACCAAGCCCAGTGGATAGGGAGGTTTTCCTTTTTTGGATTTTGTGGTTTTGTGGGCGTTTTTGTTTTTTTTTTTTTGTCTTTCTGTTTCCACCCCCAAAGAAGCAAGAGGTGTTAAATACAGCGAGACAGTGAGACTTGGTATATCAAGAACTTTGGCAGACCATCTTGTAAAATGCCAACGCCATGGTGCCATTTTCTGTGAGTGCGAAACCTGCTTGTGTAAGCCTATAAGAAACTCTATTGGCGGGGCGCCTGGGTGGCTCAGTCGTTAAGCGTCTGCCTTCAGCTCAGGTCATGATCCCAGGGTCCTGGGATCGAGTCCCGCATCGGGCTCCCTGCTCCGCGGGGGGCCTGCTTCTCCCTCTCCCACTCCCCCTGCTTGTGTTCCCTCTCTCGCTGTGTCTCTCTCTCTCAAACAAATAAATAAAATCTTTAAAAAAAAAAAAAAAGAAACTCTATTGGCAACATCCATGACCCAGTACCTGTGTGAAAACAGGCCAGACGGGAGTAGCTGTGGAAAAGCTTTTGAGAGCATCAAACAACACCAGCTTCAAGTGCCTGCTTCTTTCTTTATTTCTCTCTTGGTTTTACATCTGTTTCTTCACTATAGCACTTCTCGCGTGGTCTCATGTAAGAAGGCAGAAAGGTTAGGCTATTTAGTCATAAATCGTAAATATTTGATGAACCGTCACCTCAGCCTTTTAGACTGTGATGAAATATGAAACTGCTTCCATGAGGTCATTTTTTGGACTTGACCTTTGGAGGAAACCAGTGAAACATTCAAGTTGAATTTTGAATGGCAGCCGGATGTCCTGGTGGACCCCAGCCTATGGGTTGTATTCCAGAAACACCATAGCACTCACCACTGTCATACGTGTGTATTTATTTGTTTGTATGCTTATCTGCTTTTCTAGTATGTGAGTGTCGCGAGAGAAGTGACTTTGTTTTTGCTCACTGCTGTATCCCCAGTGCCTAGAACAGTGTGTGGACCCAGTGACACTCAATAAATATTTGGTGAGGGCACCTGGGTGGCTCAGTTGGTTAAGCGACTGCCTTCAGCTCAGGTCATGATCCTGGAGTCCCAGGATCGAGTCCCGCATCGGGCTCCCTGCTCAGCAGGGAGTCTGCTTCTCCCTCTGACCCTCCCCCCTCTCATGTGCGCGCTCTCTCTCATTCTCTCTCAAATAAATAAATAAAATCTTTAAAAAAAAATAATAAAATAAATATTTGGTGAATGAATGAAGAACTAAATGAATAAGCGGTCTTGTAAATAATAGTTATTTCTTGGCTCAGCTTATGAGTATATGGAACTTAAAATATGTATGAAAAATGCTAGTAATCGCACCAAGTCTCTGGATCTCCTAGAAGGCAGGTGTTCAGATGTCTTCTGACAATAGAGCCTCGGGCCAGGCCAGCATGGGCTTGGAGCTCCTCTGAAGCCTGGGTGATGGGACAAGAAGCCTGCTGGACAGACACTGGGCTGGGCCTATGGGAAAGGGAGACTGGGAGCCTGTGGCAAGGGGCTGGCCCAGCTGGTGGTCTCCATTTGTTCCTGTGGGAATTTTGTGTCTTTGGCATTTGGGAACACTGAGTGTCTTTATATTTTCCATTAGAGTTTGTGTTTAGCTCAGTTGAAGTTCTCTGGTGTCGACTTTTTTTTTTTTTTTTTTTAAGATTTTATTTATTTATTTGACAGAGAGAGAGAAACAGCGAGAGAGGGAACACAGGCAGGGGGAGTGGGAGAGGGAGAAGCAGGCTTCCCACCGAGCAGGGAGCCCGATGCGGGGCTCAATTCCAGGACCCTGGGACCATGACCTGAGCCCAAGGCAGATGCTTAACGACTGAGCCACCCACACGCCCTGTCTCCGGTGTCGTCTTCAAGGAAGGAAGTCATCAACAGGATAAGAAGAAAGCATGCGCATGTTCAGAGAACACCAGACTGATCGGGAGGACAAACTCAGGGGAGGGTTCTGGGCTGCTCCTAAGTGTGCTTTCTGCCCTCTTTTTCAGGATCTTCCCACCTTCTGCAGGATGGCTTCTGCTTGGCGGAGACTGGGCTTTTATGTCTCTTTTCTGAAAAGCCAGCAAGATGGCGGGCCAGGGATCATCAGCAGGGGAAGGAGAGTGATTCCGGGATGGGCCAGAGATATTTACAGTGCCACGGGAGAATGGACGAAAGAGTACACACTGCAGACAAGAAAGGAGGTCGAGAAATGGTGGCATCACCGAATAAAAGAACAGGCCTCCAAAATTTCAGAAGCCGATGTGAGTATTCTGAGGGGTTTTGAGAGAGTAGAGAAGAGGGGCTAAGGCCTCGCACTCCGGGGTCAGATTGCCCAAGTGCAAATAAGTTATTCATTGTGTGACCTTGAACTGAATGATTGACTCTGTGCTTCAGTTTTCTTATCTACTATGGACAGTGCTAGTAAGAGTGCCCCCCTGCTTCCTAGGATGTTTGTGAGGGGTAAATGAGATCAGATAAGGATAGTGCTTAGAAGAGTTTCAGTGTGGTGCCACACTGGGCATTCTGGAGCAGCATTTACCAGGGAGATGCATCAGGATTCATCCAGCAGGGGTTGGGTCCTTCCTGGTCCATGGTGTGGTGGGGCAGCACACAGGGATCCAGCAGGGTCAGATGTGAGGCTCCAGGAGTGGCACCTGGACCCCTCACCTATGAAACTGAATCTGCATATTCTGAGAAACACCTGTCTCTTCCCTGGCATAGACCTTGGCCTCCAACCTGGTTCTGCCACCTCAGCAACATGGTTTGGGAGGTACCAGCCCTTCCCTGGTGTGATCTGGGTCTGTGATCCAGCCTTGCAGTGGCAGTTGTGTGACTTAGTGAACCCTTGGCTTCTGCTCTGGATGCATCAGCTCAGAACTCTACTTATAAGTATCTTCAGTATTTGGTTGTACCCAGTTTCCATGGGGCGCCATATTGGAGGCTGGCTCCTTCTCTAGGAGTCCAGCCTGTCAGGGATTAGTCTTGGATGTGGTAGCTCTTACCTCTTGATATTGGTCAAAGTAACAAATGGGAGATGTGATTTGTTACTTGAAATGTTGAATCTGATCAGAGCCAAGCACTATAAGATAGTTTATCTTAAATTCTACCATCCCTTTGTAATAGTTGCCAAATAATACAGACCTTCTACATTTAATTAAGGAGATTAGGCCAGAGGCAAGCAGTTGAGTACATATAACTGCAAGAGACTGCTTTTCTCTAGACTTGGCCATTTCCCATCTCCTGATTCTCATTCTTTTCAGACACATTCCTTCTATGAGATTGATCACTGTGAAGAATGCTGGGGGCAGTTATTTGTGTTAAAGTGAAGAGGATGTTTTTGGGAATTGGTTAGAAAGAAAATCTGGTATTGAGAGAGGTGTGATGGATATCAAGTGAAGGTTTGAATAGGATGCATGATTGTACAATGAAAGCCTGACTTCCGCCTCAGCAGGGCATGAAGAGCCTTCATGTCAACATGACCAGACTCAGTTAACTAAACGTATTTTGGAAACAAACTAGGGAGCAGTTTAATTCTGAACAAGGAGAGTAAAATTATCATTTCTTCTTTTCTTTTTGGTTTAGATTATAATTTAGTGGCTTCTACACATTTTAAAGTTGTAGCTTACTGATTTTTGTGGCTTCTCATTCTTCTTAAGTATATGGTTTTTTAAAATAATTAAATGGATCAAGGGGCACCTGGATGGCTCAGTCAATTGGGCATCTGGCCCTTGGTTTCGGCTCAGGTTGTGATCTTGGGGTTGTGAGATCGAACCCCACTTTGGGCCTTGTGCTCAGTGTGGAGTCTGCTTGGGATTCTGTCTCTCCCCCTGCCCCTCCCCCTGCTCACGCATGTGCACACTCTAAATAAATAAATAAAATCTTTTAAAAAATTAAATGGGCCAACACAGTTTATCAATAATTGGGGAAGCAGCTGGAGGGATACTGAGGGTGATCCCCTGGGGGCACCCTCTCAGGGTCTGCACTGGGGAGTGGTAAGGTGGAGAAGGTGCCATATGACCAGTCTGGAGCCAGGGCAGTACCATGGGCTCGGTCTCAAGACCTCAGCGTGATCTCATCCATATCACATAACCTCTTTGATCCTCACATTCTTTGCATTGTTTATCTCACAGAATTGTTTTGAGAATCAAATGAGAAAACGTGGCTGAACACATTTTACAAACTGAAATGTTACATAAACAAAAGATCCAAGAGGATAAAAGTGTGTGGTATCTTTGTCAGGAATTAAGAAGACAACTGGATGTCAGTGGATTTTGAAGCATTTATAATTGACCTCACTGTGGTATTAGATCTATTTAAAATCCACCCAAATGAGTTTCCAGGAGTTGAATGTCTTGCCGTGATCACCATAATCATTATTAAACGAAGTTCTATTTAATGAGCATTTGACTATATGTCAGGTACTATCTTTCCATATATTACCTTATTTAATCCTGGAACAACCCTGGGGATTTTGGGGGGAGTAAGAAAACAGAGGCTCAGAGGGAGGTTTGGTAATTTACTGGGGATATGTGCCTGGGACCTTCTGGTGCCTCACCTTTGATTTATAGATTCTGAGCCCAGAAAGGCAGAGGAATTTGCCCAAGGTCTTGCAGATAGCTGGGGACAAGGCTGGGGCCAGAACTCGGGCTCCAGGCTCCTTCTGTCTGCCCCCTCTAGGCTCTGCAACAGTTTTGGAATGTGATCTATGAAGAGGAAAGAGTTATCTTTCCCCTGATGTCAGAAGCTGGCAAAAATAATAGGTCCCACTTATAAAAACCGTCCTCTTCCCATCGCTTACAATCTTAATTTCTTTCAAAGGCTTACATTCTTACACTTTTATATAATTATGAAAATTTCCCCTTCAATCAGATTCCTGCTCAGTTTTAACATAAACCCCCATAATTCCATCTTGCCATCCCCAGAGGATAGAACTCATTTCATTATCACGGAGGAAAATGACTTAATTCACACAGAAAAGCAAAAGGAAGAGACCTGAAGCAAGCTGAATACCTTTTCTGCAATAAACAAAAATAGTCATGAATATTAAAGACTTTTGCCAGCGGTGCCTTTCTATATATCTTCTGTAAGCTCCCTTTTGGAGTTTGGCTTAGTGTGTAACAAATCACTCAATGTGCTATACATTAAATCTCTGTTGGACAGACTTACCAGAAAGAGATAGTCATGAAGAAGCTGTATGTGGAAAATGTTTGGGGTAAGATCGATTGTTCAATAAACATAATATAAAAAAAAATAGATATATCCCCATAATGAAAACAAGGCGATTATAATAAAAGAAAAATGGGCTTAATGTAAAAACTTAAAATGAAAAACGAGAAATGGTTTATATCAAGGATTTTATTGATTTTTTTCAGATGTTTAAGAGCTCTGTAATAGCTATTTTCCCACGTTCCTAAAAATGCCCCAAGAAAAGGCAATAGACTCAGTCTATTATGAGAAGGAATAAGGTTCAAATGGAGTGGACAGTTTGCTTGCTTCTGGTTCTGCACCGAGTGACAAGAGTAAGGTCTTGCACCTCATTTGAGGGACTAGTTTACAAGCTGAGAGGATTATCTGTCGCTTTCCTTCTTAAAGACAGCAAGTCGTGAGTCTGCACCGACTCCACACCTCAGGGCCGGTCTCCCGAGGTTTTCCTAAGGGTTATGGGTCTGCAGTTTCCAGTTAAAGTGTGTGATCAGCGTGCTGCTTTCCATCCCTTTAGGTAAATCAATTGCAGTTGTCACTTGAGCATTACGTGATTTTCAGTTTGTGTATTATCCAGACTCCTGTGTATTCTCTTTTCCCTTTTCTTTCTTTAGGCAGCTCGACTTACCACTCGGTAATTTCTGGAGGTTGGGCAGTACAGAGAACGTTCTAGTTAATTTTGCCACATGTTAGTGGCCCCGTGAAAGGTTTAACTTCTTTGCTGAGGGAAGTTTAAAGCAAGGAGTCAAATGAGATTTGGAAAGAATCTGATTTCTGGGTTCTTCCACTCCCCTGATTATAGTTGGCCGTGTCAGTGATCAGTCATGCAAGTACTTAGCAAAAAATCACCTCCCTATACACGAAGGAATGGTCATGTATATTCTGTTCTGTGTTTGTTTTCATTACTTTGGGAGAAGCAAAACCTGAAAGAGCTCTAGCAGCGCTGCAGGAAGGGAGTAAGGACAGAGAGAGAAAAACAGAAGGCAGAAATAAATGAGAGAGTGGTAATATCAGAAGATCCCAACCCTCAGAGACCAAACATAAGCAATTACCTCTTCTTCCTTTCTTCAGAGAGCCCTGCATGAGAGGATTTAAGGCTGGGTAGGGGGAATGCTCCTGTCACCTGGACAGGATTTGGGTAGCTGGGGGAAAAAATGCCCTTTGGTCATAAGTGCTCCATGGGGCCGGGAATTAAACTCCTGCTGGGAGTGAGGGTGGGTTGAAGTGAGGTGGGGGGGGTGGGGAGAGGGAGATGATTAAAACATAGCCCTTGCCCTTGAACCACAGACCCCCTAATTAGCAATCAATTAAATCACTAGCACGATTCATTTGGAGCCTTATCCCCTCGGGTGGTGCACAAACCCAAAGTCAGCCGTCCAGGAAGGACTCCCTGCCCTGTGTTCATTCCGTCTGGACGCAGGGACTGTTTTTCTGTTTCTCATAATGCAGCTGTGTCTTTAGCAGCTGGAAGGTTCTCTAACCCTGGCGTGAGGCTGTCTGTAGATCGGCCCTGGGAAACAACACCCTTCTTGCCTTGTTGGCTATGATTTTCTCCTTATTCCCCCATTTCAACTTTGTTGAAAGATAAGCTCACAATACAGCAGAGAAACCCAGGACCCAGACTGGTGCCTCAGGATCCTGCTCTTCCTGCTAAATCCAAGTTTGAATGCAGCTACAGGGGATTTAGAGATGTCACATCTGTGTGATTCAACTATCATGTCCGTGAATTATACAGATATATGCGTTAGAGCTTCATTTGGAAAAACATATAGTTCTTTAAGACCTAGGTAGAAACTGTCTTAGAAGCTTTTAAAAGAGAAAAAAAAAAAAGATTAAAAATATATATGGGTAATTCGCACTTTGAGGTTGTTCGGCATTATTTTGGACATTCTTCAGCTTAAACCAGGGCTTTGAATTTTGGTTTTTGACATTTTTGTCAGTTTACATTATGGGAGCAGCCTTTTTTTTTTTTTTTATTTAAGATTTTATTTATTTATTTGAGAGAGCGAGTGAAAGAGAAAGTACAAGATGGGGGGAGGGTCAGAGGGGAAGCAGACTCCTCGCTGAGCAGGGAGCCTGACACAAGACACCATCTCAGGACCCTGGGATCATGATCTGAGCCAAAGACAGTTGCTTAGCCAACTGAGCCACCCAGGTGCCTTTTTTTTTTTTTTTTTAAGGAAACTTTGAAAACGTTAAACTGTTACCTCAAGTACAGCACCAACATTTTATGTGCATGTAGGGTCCCAGTACATGCTTAAGAAATGCTCATTGTCATTCTTTGTCAATTCTTTCCCAGAAATCAAAGCCCAAGTTTTACGTACTGTCCATGTTCCCTTATCCTTCTGGCAAGTTGCACATGGGCCACGTACGTGTGTATACCATCAGCGACACCATTGCACGGTTCCAGAAGATGAGAGGGATGCAGGTAAGGAAAAATGCCCCCTTCCCATCCCACCCAGGGGAGGAAGAATGTCATTAATGTGGTCAAGACAAATGAAGAGAACAGGTTAGAGTTAAAATTAGGACAGCTTTGACGATAAACCCGAAAAGCCCAGTGTTTCCTTTTATGAGTTAGAAGACCTAATAAAACATCTGGATTAATGGGGGGGAGGGGAACCACTGTGTGTTCGGTGTTGTGCTACAGATGGTGGTGGGGTGGGGCTGGGGTCAAATTTAGCTACAAATGTTGGTAACGTGGGCCGTCTTCCCAGGACGAGTTCATCGTCCAGCGGGGGTGAAACACAGATAGTCATCGTGTAGGGGGATGAATCCAATAGTACAGATATGGATCAAATGCTGTGAGGAGGAGGTGGGGCCACAGGAGAATTTTCTCTTTCTATTTGATATTTTCTGTATTCTTTAATGAGCATGGATTATTTTATGATGGAAAAATTAACATTTTTATAAGGAAAAAAATATCTGGGAGGAACAACCCTGGGGCTTTTGGGAAAGGTTCCACTAAAGAGGGAGCGTCTGACATGGGTCTTGAAGGACAAGGTGAAATTTACCGGAACAGGAGGAGAAAGACCCTTCCTTGGCCATTGTGGGTCAGCCCCCTTCTCCCCCACTGCCAGTTACCCCAAAGCTTACTGTTTACTCTTTAGCAGTGTATCGTCTGTAAAATGGGGTGGGAATGATCACCATACGTTCTTTAACCACTTACAGAGAGGTGGGATTGAAGAAGGGTTGAGAACACAGACCACTGAACCCGACTGTCCAGGACTCGAATGCCAGCTCTTAACACGTACTAACTGTGTGACCTTTGACTAGTTACTTAACCTCTCTAAGACCTAGTTCTCCCTCATCTGTAAAATGGGGATAAAACAGTACCTGCCCATTGGCCTGTTACAAGGATCAGAGGACGGCTGTGAAGCATTTAGCACATACCTGGCACATAGTACATAACCAAGAAATACTATTGCTCACCAGAGGCTGGCTGGAGCCTGTTCACAACAGCTCCTGAGAGCCCCCTGTGCACCTCTCTGTCCAAGTCTGTGTTTATCAGGCACCCCAGGAGCTTGAGATCCAGCCATGGGGGAGTATTTACACCATGGACATCAGCAAATGCTACGACTCTGGGCATTTTCCTCCAGAGGGGCAATTGTTAAAACATTCACTGGGATTCCCACTGGCTGTTGCCATTATTAACCTGCCTGTACAAAGGACATCTGCCACCTCCTAGTTCTTTGTAAAGATTTTCTTTTCGAGACATAGGTGCATCTGTTGTCACAATTGGTTCGAAAATTTATGCTGAACTGACATTGGCAAGAAGTATTCCTAAAAAGGAAGGCAAGTTAAAATGGCTCTTTGTCACTTAAAGGGTTAATAACTTTATACTACCAAATGCAGAGATTTGTGTTCTACTTTAATAGTCAAAGCTATTTGTTTTCCTGCCTTATGTCGAATTTTATTTTCCCCAGACATTGCTTTCCATCATTGCTGCTATGTTTATTAGAAAGAGACAGTGCAGAGTGAATTGGCTCTTTGCCAAAAGTATAATTCTCTGTCTTACTGTGATTCTTTGACTAGATTTATCCTGTGGTTTTTTACTTACGCCAACTTATTTTGGACAGTTAGTGAGTGCAGGCAAATTGCTGAAGATGAAGCTTTTATAGCAAAGTTGTACATTTATGAGAGGATACAGGTGGTTGAGAGGGTGTGGGTGGGATTTTGATTCTCTTGGATGGGATGAGATGTTCCAGAGGAAGCTCAAGGCAGAGCTCCAGGCCTAGAGCCACTCAGGCCCAAGAGGCAAAATGGAGACTCCTATAGTAACTGAAGCCCAAGGTCAGGCTGGACCCAGGAGTTGGACAACGTGGATTTGAACAGCATTCTGCCACCTTCTTACTGAGGGACCCTGCACAAGTCATTTCATGTCTCTAAATCCCCACTTTCCTCACCTTTAAAATAGGGCTAACAGTAATTCTTGCCTCATGGGATTGTTGTGCAGGTTAAATGAGATAGTACATGTGTCTGGCATAATAATCCCTTAATAAGTGATAGCTGCAATTACTATTTACATTGATTTGGTACTCTGGGAGGTCAGCCACTGTCATTTAATAAATGCATCCCACTGTCTTCAGCCTGGAGTACGCTGTATAGAGTTACCTCCTCAGAAGCAGCTTAACTGTAAAACATTGCCTGCAATTTGTATTACCTATCCTATCACTTGATGGGTGCCCAAAACTACTCTTTGTTGTTTGGTTTACAGTGTCTGAGTCTGTGTGATCAACAGGCACCTAAGGTTCTCTTTGTTCCTAATTTTCAGTTGCTCTGTTCAAGATGATGAGCTGTCTTTTTGGGGTATTCTCCAGGTTCTGCTGAAATTAATTTCTTGCTAATTTTCATAAGCCATATTTAAGTCAGTTCGTTCCATCTATAACTCCAAATTGGTGAAAACTTGTCCAGCTATTTTTCAAGCGATATGGCAAAAGAGAAACAAATCTCAGTGTAATTGTCAATAACACCAAAGCCTGTTGAGTTTGCTATTGTTTTAAAATCCATTCCCAATGTCAGGACTGGTCCCAGAGATAGAGTGAGGTTGGATTCAGGTCAAGTTCAATGGTTCTCACTCTAAGAAGGAAGGAATATCTAATCTGGAGTAACAGCAGGGTCTGACATGTGTATTCATTCATTCATTCATTCAATATATAGTCATTGAGTATCAGTTATTCTAAATACTGGGGTTTTTATTGTATTCAATAGAAATATTAAGAGTCTTAAGTTCAATATCAGTCAGTAGGCCTAAGAAAAATTCAGCAAGCTTTGGCTTTTTCTAGAACTTGTTAATTTGTCGACTGGTTTGCTTTGTTCTTGAGTGGAGATACATGAAATAATTTTCAGTTACACGAAGAACAGTATGGGAAGTAAAAGGTGGAGTGAGCGGTGTGGCAGTTCTGCTCTCTTCAAGGCTACCATTGATCTCCACGGATGTGCCCCTGTCCTTGTCTTTCTCAACCTTGGCAACATGAAATACGGTAGGCCATTTCCTCCTCCTTAAAACACTCTGCTCTCAGTGAGACCCCACTCTCCCAGCACTTCTGCATTTTTGCTTCTCCTTCCCGGTTTACTCCACAAACTTTCCCTGCTCCACTCCATCTTTGCATACGCTTTATCAGGTTGAGAAAGTTCCCCTTTATTCCTACTTTTCTGAGAGTTTTTCTCATGAATGGTGTTGATTTTGGTGAAATGCCTTTTCTGTATCTGTTGAGATGGAATAAAGTTTTTCTCTTTTATTCTGTTAATGTGATATGTTTTCTTGATTGATTTAAAACAATTTTTAAACCAACCTTGTGTTCTTGGGACAAATTTTATTTGGTCATAATGTATTTTTTTTTTATGCATGAATTGCTGTATACAATTTGTTAATCCCACTATGTGCATGGGAGCTACTGCTCTGAAATTTTCTTTTCTTTAATGTCTTTGTCTGGTTTTGCCATCAGGGTGATGTTGGTCTCATAAAACAAACTAGAAGGTGTTCCCTTCTTCCTATTTTCTGAAAGTGATGTGTATTATTGGTATTATTTCTTCCATATTGCTTAACACAGTTCACCAGTGATGGTATCTGGGCCTGGTATTTTGTTTGTGGGAAGTTTTAAAATGACAGATTCTATCTCCTTAATGATATAGGGCTATTTAGATCTTCTGTTTCCTTCCATGTCAGTTTTAAGTTGTGTTTTTCAAGGAATTTCTCTACCTTACCTCCAGGTCTGTTCTGGACTGCCTTCTCTTTTTTTTTCTCTGTCCACTTTTCCTGGGTAATCTCATTTATCCCCTTCAGTTTAAACAGGGTACTTTAAAAAATTATGGAACATTTCCAACAGAGAAGTCTATAGAGCATTGTCACAGATACCCAGATCTGCGTCCTGATAGAAGGTGCCACCATGTAATCCTATTAGCCTCAGCTCTTTTGTTTTTTTTCCCTTTTTTATGTTGCAAATAAGAGTTGTTCCTCTCCACAATTGGATTCCAGTCCTTGAAGTCAAAGTTAAAGTAACCACTATTCAGGACTTAGTGTATATCCTTTGCCTTCATGTTTTCATGTTTTTACTCTATCTGTTGTTTAGGGATACATACATACTTATATGTAGTATTGTTTTTAATTTTATATAAAAGATATTTAATATTCTGCATATTATTTCACTCAGTATTTTGTATCAAGGATTATCCTGTGTCTCTAGAGTTATTTCATCCATTATAAGTACTGTATAATTATGACAATAGTTAATTATCCATTTTCACATAGATAGAGTTTTAGGTTGTTTCAAATTTTTGCTCCAGTGAGCATCCTTATACCTGATGGGTTAGCCTGTGGGAGAAGTGGCATTACTGGGTCATAGAGTGTACATTGCTCAGCATTACTACATCTTTCTAAATCACTTTCCAAACTGTTGAGGCCAATTATTACTCCCACCAGCAATGAAAGATACTTGTAACTGCCCTACATCCTTGACAGCACTTAGTAATGTTAGACTTTTTAGTCTGTGCTAATTTGTCATATGGGAAATGGCAATCTAATTGTGTTTTTAATTTACATTTTCCTGAATACTATCCTATAGTGAAGCTGAGATATTTTCATATGTTTATTGCTTATTTAATTTTCTTCTTTTCTTTTTGCCCTGCTCATATTATTTGCCAAGTTCCTCTTGGGTTGTTTGTCTTTTTCATATTGTTCTGTAGAATTCTTTATACAGTCTGGATTACTGATTCTGTGTTGGTTAAATGCAATGCAAAAGTCTTCTCCCATGGGGCACCTGGGTGGCTCAGTCGTTAAGTGTCTGCCTTGGGCTCAGGTCATGGTCCCAGGGTCCTGGGATTGAGCCCCACGTAGGGCTCCGTGCTCAGTGGGGAGCCTGCTTCTCCCTCTCCCACTGCCCCCTGCTTGTGCTCTCTCTCTCTCTGTCAAATAAATAAATAAAATCTTAA